GCTGGGGTCCGGCGATCCTTCCGCCTCAATCTTCCAAGTAGCTGGAACTACAGGTGTGCGCTACCATGCCCAGCTAATTTTTCATTTATTGTAGAGATGAGGTCTTACCAAGTTGCCCAGGCGGGTTTCGAACCCACGGGCTCAGGCAATCCACTCAGCCTCTCAAAGCACGGGATTACAGGCTGAGCCACCGAGCCCGGCTTGAACTTAGTTATTAAACTGTGAACACTGGACATCTTATCATCAGTTTCTGTCTACTGCCAAATACGATCTTTTGGCGGTCAAAGGAAAGCGTGAGTCCTCTTCCAGTTATAAATATTCGCAAGGCAGATTCTCCTGCCCCCTTGTTTCCCAACTGAGAAAAAGGAAGTACCAAAATGGAGACAAGGGACACTCCAATCAGACTTAAACTTTTGTGTAACCGTTTATTCAAATTCAGAAGTGAATGTTATGGTGGAAGGTAGGAGCCCTGTTTTCCCTCCACAGTTGTATCTATTCGTGGAAATTGCAGGTGTTCTTAGCTTAAATCCTGCCAAGGCCTCCTCTGCTTTGACACTCCCCAGCCCACATGGTAATTACTGCTGCTATACATGGAAGGAGCTGAAATTGACACAAGGCTCCTGCCCTCTGACTCCACTCCTACAAATCACTTACCTCGCTGAGTTTGAGGCTGAGGGGCTTGCTGCCTCCCACCTTAATCCTAAGAGAGATTTCTTGCAAGGGCCCGACTTGCTCCTGACTGAAAGAAGTTGATCTCCCTTGTAATGGAGGGAGAGCCAGCCCGTGGGACCAGCCTTGAATTATCATAGTCATACCAGGTTGAAGACACTGTCAGAGAAACTGCGTGGAGGGCCTGGCGTAGAGATTGAGAAAGGCTGGGAAGGGAAGGCTGTGTGAGGAAGCTAAGGGTAAAAGGTTTTGTGTTGAACCAGATTGCTAGCTTTGGGCATCTATTTTCTTTCCAGGGGAAAAAAGAAAATTGGCATATGCATTGGTTTTTAATCTGGTTTTTAACCTCAGAAGCTATATTTGTAAGAAAGTTTGTGTGACTAGATCTGAAGGAGAAGTTGAAAGAAAAAAGGAAGGAAGGGAAGGAGGGAGGGGGGGGGGGGGAGGA